GATTCGAATACATAGAGCCTCTGCCARATTTGGTTTTTGAATAGAAAATGGCCTAATTTGTGGTTAAAGAAAGCTTGCCCGCTATATCATCAATGCTACAAGCTTGCTCATTTGGATAAGATGGAAAGAAAGATAGGATCTCAGGCCGATATGATAAAATTTCGGAAGCTGCTTCCAAAAAGCATTCGATTCGCACTATTTGTGCGATTCGAATCCGTAGGAGCTCTTGAAATTTTGGGAAAATTTATTCTCATCTCTGCTTCTCGCCCACTCAGCCTCTATGGTTTGCAGTTGCATAATTAGAGAAAATTGGATTAGTAGTGCGATTTTAAGAGCTCCTGCCGAGGGGGTAGCCAATATTCTCCAATTGATAATTCTTCTTTTTGGATTCGCATCATTTCGATCGATTTGATATTAACGGAGAAGATTTTGGGGAAGCACTTCGGCGATTTTGCCATTTCGCATTTCGCGCTTTGACCGGGAGTTTGTTTCAAATGCTCTCTATCTAATAATTGAAGAGCCGGAAAGCCGTAATATTCAATTCGAAATATCTCTCCTTCGATGGGATTCTATTGGTTCTATTTGCTACCAATGAATGCTTTTTGGCTCGGGCCTCTCAGCGGTAATCTATCGTTTTCGATCGAATAAATGAGCCGCTAAATCTGAACAGCGAAAGGGTTGGCTATTTGCAACAATAGCTTGGCAAGATAGCCGCGCTTTGCTTATCTGAGAAATTGAAATTATTCCTCGGCTTAGTGAATTTASTTAATATTATAGCCGCAGCGCTTTGATCTCCTTTCCTTTCTTAGGCATTTCGATGATATTTTCTTCTCCTCTATCAATGATCGGAATCTCATCTTTCACTTAGAGGTTCATCTTTTTCCTTTATATTCCCTTTGTTCTTCATCTGGGAGCTTTCTTTAACACACAGGGATCCCATCTTTGAGTTCTATCCTTAATTGCATGCCTCGCCCTTTGCCTCATGGCTAAAAATAAACCAAAGGATATGCTATTGCGAATGGCTTTTAATTTCTTCAAATACTGACATGCACTGAMTCCATTATTGACTTCACCGCAGATCTTTTTGACTAGCGATCAACTCCGCTCGAGAGAGGAAATTTTCCAATCGATTCTATCCATCGGTATTGGACCTAATTCTCTGAGGCTCCAGCCCTCCCCCCCCCGATAATAAACGTACCTTCCCTAACGTATTTATAATTTGTTAAACACTGTAATTCAATCAACAATATATTGTTATTTGAAGA